TTTCGAACTTTCGAATTCTGAAATGTCCGAAGTTCGACGAACTTCGAACTTTTAGGGTAAAAGTTCGACGTTCGTCGAATTTTGAAAGACCGGCGGACGGTTTCATTTGATTTCAAGTAGTGGGGTACATTCGTAATTTTTTTTTCTCGAACTTTTACACGCGGTGCTGCGTTCCTTACGAAATACAATGTTGTTTATTTCAATGTTCTGGCATGCTTAGGTTTAAAGAAATAAATCCCCGAAGGGGCGAGGAAGGACGACGGGTTTTTGACGATTATCATTTTTGCCAGATTTGAAGCACGCTGCAGCCGGAGCTATTTATGGTATACTTTTTTAAGAATGATCTATGTATATCCTAGGTAAGTGTCGAATTAAGATGTGATGATTGTTATTCAACGTGAGTTCCGAAGGAATGTCCAAATATGTATCTCCATGCAATTATGACCTAAACTTGATATTTATTTTCGTCTAAGTTGTTTGAGGTATCGCATTTAAATTAACACCACAGACAGAACATATCTAATAGTGTTTAAGTTCAGCACGTCATTAAAAGAAAACTTTTTTTTTTTTTTTTTCGCTTCACGTTCCTGGGACGTGTTTCTTTTAGCCTGTACACATTTTGGTAAAAGAAACTTGTTTTGAAGTTCTGAACCTCTGAATAAGCAAGAATAGAACACTTCCGACGAATTCTTGATAGTTTTTTTTTCCTGCTTTTTAATCCCGCCTGTATTCTTTTTTTTTTTTTTTTTTTTTTTTACTATTGGCACAGGTATTTAGGTCGAAAAGACAGCTTTGAACTTCCGAACCACTAAGCATGTGACGAGTAGTGCCTTCTGACAACGAGTTTCTAACAATGACCATCTACGCAACCTTTTATCCAGTGAAGAGCGACAATAGCTACACATATGCATAAATAATTTCAGATTAAAATAAGCTCGACCACGCCTTCTTTCCCCGTACAGTTTTTTTCAACAATCCGAAATACCTGCAAGGGAAAAAAGAAAACTGAAGCCCCCTCCCCCCCCCCCCCCCCCCCCCCGCTACCCTCTTTCCCCCCGTTTTCCCTCTTCCGACGCCACTTGTATGGTAGAACGCTCCTCGACCTCGAGTTGTGTCGGCTTTTGTGCTTTTTGCGAGGCGATTCCTCCGTCCCAGAAAATAAACCTCCAGGACAATTATAAACTTCACCGGATCGGATTACTACCAGCGTGCAAGGGGTGGCGAGCTAGTTTGCCAGGTCGCTTCAAGGTTCTTCTGAGCCTCAACCTCCTGCTCGCCCCTGGCCGTTTCGAACTGGATGAGTCTCGTAAAACAGTGTGTTCGTGTAATCACTACTGCGTGATGCAGGTTAAAGACCCCCCCGGCGGCTGGCGGTCACAATTCTGCACTGGCAAATATTCTAGCACGCCCGGGGCACTCGTCGTCTCATTTAATTGCCTAACCAACTTCGCAGAATCTAGATATCGCACCCTAACTTTTCTAAACTTGATTTTGTGAAAACCAGTGAGTCATGAAAACGTTATTTGAAACTGAAACTGTGGAAAAACTTAAAAATCGGACTTCGAACTTTGAAAACTTGGATTAAAAAAAAATTCAAAATCTTCGAAGTTTTTTGTTGTTTTTTTGTTAATTTAGCGTTAAAAGAGAATCGAAACCTTCAAACTTTTCGAACTTTATGCAGAAAGAAATTCGAAATCTTCGAATTGTTCGAACTTCATGTGTATAAAAATTCGAAGCGTTCAAAGTTTTCGAATTGTTTTTCCAAAGAAATTCGAAATCTTCGAATTTATCGAACCTGAAGTAAAAATATATTCGAAATATTCGAATTCGAAATTTTAGAAACCGTGAAAGCTTCGAAATTTTCGAATTCGAAACTCCGCTGTGGTCAAAAGTTGTGAATTTTTCGAATTCGAACCTCGGTCGGTACGAAAATATCGAAATTCTTCGAAATCGAACCTCAGTTCGCTTCGCAAATATCGAAACCTTTCGAAATCGAACCTAGGGTGGTTCGCGACATCCCTAGTCCAGACTGCCCTGTGCAAAAAAAAAAAAAAAAAAATGAAACTCCTCTCCATGTTGTTGTTGTTTGTTTTTTTCTTGCTTCGGTTGGATCTTTTTCATTTTTTTAACGCCTTTTGCAGCAAGGCGTTTTGTTCGCCCACGCTGCCCCTGCATTCGCGACCTCGCTGCACCAGGATAGAAAAGTGCGTTCATTTCGCGCGACTGGGGGGAGGGAGTCAAAATTTTGACCTCCGAGTTGGGGGTGCGTTTAATATGCGAGTGAAAAAAAAGTTGAAATTTTGAGACCCGACTTGGGGGGAGGGGGGGGTTCATTGCGCGAGTGCGTTCATTGTGCGAGTAAATACGGCACTTTTTTTTTTAATTTCATGTTTGCGTTCACTTTGTTTGTGAACACCAACAAAAATGAAAAATATGGTGGCGCGACAAACTGAATGCAACGATGCATTACGCTATATACCGCAAACAATGTTATGAACTATCAAACCAATCCAGTGCTTTCATCTTGCCGCATGACATCGTGCTTTCATGTGCAGTTGTACCCAAAAGGAAGGCCACATGACACACTTTTAGAGGCGGACTAGCCACGATGGCTCGTAGCGTTGGCTGCGGTACGACGCAAAGTAAAACGAAGTATAGACAGGGTTTCAGCTTGGTGCTTTGTATTATCAACTGCGTTGTTGCTGTCGTCATCTAGTCTATGTAGCCGGGTAGTCACACTTTTCTTTGACCAGCGGGTGCGCACATATTTTTATGCCTCCTTGAGTGCCTACAGAAACAAGGAAACGTGTTGTGAGAATGTCGATGGGCGGCATGACGCAAAGGGATATAGCAACAACAGTCGGGGTTACACAGGCTACCGTCAATAGGATTGTGAACGCATTCCAAACAGAAGGGCGTATCGGCGATGCACTTCGACATTGCAAGCGCCCTGCCCTCCTTTGCTGCGGAGCATGGGCTGTGTGCGATCAACGGAATAGCCTAGCAGACGACGCTCCCACCGGAAAGGGCTTTGTGCGCACGCGCTTAATCTCTCCCGTTTCGCCGCACGCCTCCGCAGCACGGCGCTGGCCATCTCAGTGGTCGACGCTCGCTTGATATTATTAAAAAATTGGGCCACTGTACATGTCTGACACCATGGGTAGAACAGCCACAAGAGGGATTTTTAGGCGATGTGACTTGCTCCATGTCGAGAAAGTACCTAGTGTCCAGCCAATTCCGCTCGACAAACGTCAACCTTGCCAGTCTTTTTTTTTTTAATTTCTTGTTTAGTCTGGCTTCCCCCAGAAGTGACTTCACTTGCCACTCCGAAAGTGCACGAATGCGGCTCATTTAACGTTTATTTTAGGCCCCTTCACCTATTTTCTGAGCATGAAACTAGATTTTAATAATTAAAGCAAGGACAAAATTAGGGCGGCCATTTGGCTGCAATGCTAGGTACCCTTAGTTTCTTGTACCCCGGGAGCCAGTCACATGGCCTCAAGATTGCTCTTCAGCCTAAGTTAACCGCCGGATGAGATAGCTACAGTGATCAGCAAACCAGTCTAGTGCTCACTATTCAGAGCTGCAAAAAAGAACAGCCAAAGCCTAAGTTAAAAAATTAAAGATGTTAACAACTCGCTGTAATGCCGAATTAGAGCGCAGCTCTTAAAGAGGAAGAGGGGAGGGTACGACGGGGACAATATGCTTCTCCTCCTCATCCGTACCCTCTCCTCCTCCCTCCTTATCTACTCCTCTAGTGCTCCTCGCCTCCTCCCCCTCCTCCTCCTCCTCCCCATCCTCCTCCTCCTTTTCCTCCCTCCCAAATGGTGCATTATGGGAAACGTCCCATAATGCAATGCGCGTGTCATCACAATGCATTATGGGACATTTCCCATAATGCACCGCAAAGTTACGCTGACGGCAACGCCGCTCAAGCCGGAAACGACGGGTGCCTAAGACCAGCGCACTCTAAAAACCCCAACCACAAAAATGTTTGATGCAACTTCAATTTCTTTCGCCACAGTTCAAACACGCCAACACGTCAATGATAAGTGCCAAGCCAAGCCATTCCATTCATCCATCCACCGGAAAATCCGCGCAATTATGTTACGAACGAAAGGCACTGGCAGACATACCCGGGGAGAACTGGTTCTCGAGGTCGCTGGTCAGGTCAGGCTCAATGCGTTCCACGAGCTCCTTCGCCACCACTTCCGGGTTCATCCCGGCGGATGTCGGGGCCACGTAGCCATAGTTTTCCACGCCGGGCGACGCTCCCAAGCTTGTGCCACTCAGAGACGTCGCTCCCGTCGCCACCACCGCCACCGCCGCTGGGGCAAGAAGCATTTACTTAGAACCGGCATAGCTACAGTCTTGATGGAACAGAGCAACAGTCAGTTTTAGAGAGCAAAAGAACAGTGCCACATAGTCCCCAGCTTAAGCCAGAACCTTCTGAGGAGGGCCGACTCAAGGACATACGAATTGGACGCTCCCACATTTGAAGCAGCCAACTTTGCCAGATGTCACTGCACGGCATTCCGTATAACAATGGGGCACAGCTGCTAACGGTTTCTTTCTCACCCTCGGCTGGCCAAGAAGAACTCTTACCGGCTCCACCCCACAATCACACAAAATTTTGCACGCAACAACCTGCGTCACACTGGGGAAAGCTTTTGTGCCAACCTTTGTGGTTTTGTACAATCGAATCTCGTCAATTCAAACCTGCTTAATTCCAACTTCCGGTTTATTTGAACTGACGCCGTAGTCCTGTTAAAACGATGCATATTTAAATGTGCAAAAACACCCGGTAATTCAAACAAGCATTTGCAACGGTTAATTTGAACATACTGCACCGCCAACCATGCTCTCAGCAGCGCGCCAACTTGTGTGGCAGCACCTCTGACCCGGCAGTGCGGCAGCGTGCCGGCTGCTGCTCCAATCTTCCGTTGCAAGTAACCGTGACAACCTATCTCGTGGTGACCTCGAATGCTGCGGCTGTGCTGCCGGGGCAGCGCAGCCGCAAACTCAATCGCCGTGATTGAGTTTGGTGAAATACCATCGAGGGTGCCTCGAACCCCTACCACGGGTTCAAGTAATGACCGCCGCACGTCGCAGCGTTTTGTCAGTTCTTTCTTTTTTTACTGTGAAGCGAGGGTAGTGCGTACCAAAACTGACAATGGTCGGTGGCAAAGTGAGGCTGGTTGATTCCATCAAAGCATGTTTCTGTTCACGTGTTTAAGTGAGTAGCGGCGGCCGGCGTCAGAGTCGTGCGTCGAGAGTTTGTGATTACAAGACACTTAGGTGGATGCACTCGCATGTGGGAATGCCCGGGCGACATCACACCATAAAATGGTGCCGTAATGCCCGAACCACATATTGCGATTTTACTTTCGATTTAGCAGTTGCAACGTCGCTTGTACGGCAAAGTATGTGTGGTGAAGGCTATGGTGCACTATGTTGGAACTGCAAAATCGAAAGTAAAATCAGATTATGCAGTGATATGATTTGCCTAAGCCATTTTGGAGCACCTTCTGGAGCAGCCAAAACAGTGCTTTGCAGCAGCAAATGCGGCCTTTGGAGCAACCGAAACAGTGTTTTGGAGCAGCAAAAGTGGCTTTTGGAGCAGCCAAGACAGTGTTTCGGCAGCAAAAGTGGCTTTTGGAGCAGATATTCTTAGAAAAATAAAAATATTAGTTTTAAGTGCTGTACAAACGAAGGGCACTTCGTGTTGAGTTGTGTTCTGATGTGACTTGTTGTGACGGAACTCCCTGCTTGTGGTTTTACTGCTGAGACATCCCACAAGTGTACAGTGCTGTAGGCATTGCGGAGCAATTCCGAAAAACCGCTTGCCACCGCTTTACTGGTTTCCGACGTACCAGATTTTCGTAAAAAGTAAGCAAACATGAAACAATTGATTCCAAGCACCACGACTGGTGCCTCTGTTGTGCAATCATGTTCGCATGCATATGAGGGCAAACTTCGACAGGCTTGCAGTTGTGCGTGCTTTGTCGCACGAGCGGAGACAACGGCTGTTCGATCGAAACCGAAGTTTTCGATCGAAAGCACCATAGCCACTCCGCTCTGTCGCAAACTGATTCCCAAAATTGTATGCAAAACGTAACTGTCCAGCACACGACAAAAAACAGTCCAGCGGAGTGTGCTTGCCAGGCCGGCAAACAAGGTACTAAAAGCTTAAACACACTCAAATAAAAGAACCTGAGTGCATTGATGCAAGACATCGCGAGCCAGAGTCAAAAAGTTCTTGGAGCGCTTTGTGCAACTGAACTCGAGACAAACAAGCGCGCTGTGCGAGTTCAGCGTGCATACATTGCCTTCTTTGTTTTAGCTCACTTCCCTTGACTAACTTTCCTTCGCAGCAGATTTTTCACGTACCAGGGTCCCTCTCGAAAGAAAGCCCAACGAGAGAAACCTAGGTAATCAATACTTCGACACAGCAGTCTTCGAGTTAAAAAAGGAATTTTAGAGTCCCATATGATTTAAACAAGAATAGGAATGTTAATTGATGAACATGCGTCGGTGCTTGGTTTCATTTCAGAAAGCGCCATGTCTACAGCAACGTGGGGGGGGCAGCAACACCGGACGTCGCACGACCACGGTAACTGGAAGGCAGGGGCCAAATATAATTTCCCACGGCCATGGCTTTCAGGAGCGAGTGCTTCACTTCAGCTCACAAAGTAACTCCCACCGCGCAAAAAAGTGGTTTTGTTTCACAACGTGAAGGCATGGCTGGTACCCCGCACGCTAGCATTGGAGCGTCCAGACGGGTGCATCTCGAAACAACCCATTCTTATTTGAACCCTTCTCGTTTGAACCCAATCGCAAAACGCCCTTCTCGTTTTAAACTTTCGCGTTTCGACCCTTTCTTATTTATACCCGTCTCATTTGAACCCATTCTCATTTGAACCCTTCTCGTCTAAACCCATTCGCAAAACGCCCTTCGCGTTTTAACCTTTCGCGTTTCGACCCTTTCTCATTTGAACCCGTTGTCATTTGAACACCGTAGTGAGGTATAGTAAGAAGGAAAAAGGGGGGATTGGTGGCCGAGTGGTCTAGCGTACACCAGCTCGGAGCACGTGGAGCGAAAGCTCGCGCTGCAGAACCCAGGGATCCTGGGTTCGAGCCCCACCCCTGCCCGTTTCGATCTGGATGAGCATCGTACCGGCGTGCGGTCGTGTATCACTACTGCGTGATGCACGTTAAAGACCCCAGGCTAGCGGCTGTACCGCACTGGCTAAATTTCTCATCTACAGCTGGGTGACTCGTCGCCCCTGTGAGGCAGACTAAGTTCTAGGCTGTATAAACACACACACAACCCAATTATTATTTAAGAAGGAAAAACAGTTGAGGATGAAGGTTGAAGATGAAGCGAAGCGGCACCATCTCTTGCATAGTACATGAAACAATTTTCCTTATGCCTGCGTGCTACCCCAAGTCTGTTGACGTAGCTATGTGGTCACATGGTGACGTGGTTTCTAAAGTGCTAGCACAGATTCGGTACTTCATTTATCTTCTGTCGCTGTATGTCGTTAAGATGTCGTCGTGTGGAGCGGATGGATCATTGTGCTAGTCGTGTGTTATTGCTTGTAATGGCCAATTCGGGTGGTCATTTTCCCTGAAAAAAAGTTTTCCCATATCTTCGGCAAGGGCGTTCGCGTGGTCAAAGGCTGGCGGGTGCAAGCTTTTCGAGTTGCGCTTCTCAGGCGTGTACCGGCAATTTACCAGCAGAAGTATTCCCGAGCTCCAAGAGGTCGGGCAGCTTGTCTGCCAGACTGTATTCGGTATCGTCACATCCGAATTGGGATAGGGAACCAAACGAAACAATGCTCGCTGAGGCAGCAAATAGCAGTATCGAGTGGCAAACGAAGCCATCGAGACAGGCATTCTTTTGTGCTCTGAGCCAAGATAGCAAAAACAACGAAGAGAAAGATAATTTATGTTTCAAAGAAAGTCAAGATTTTTGGAAGAATTTATCCAGCCTGAGCAAGGTATGTTAACTCTGAGACACGGGCTGCATCATACATCACTTTATTTTACAACTCTGTAGTAACAAGTTATTACACCGCTGAAAAAAAAAGTATGCATAGTGATGCAGTTTGAAACTTGAACACGCTTTACAATTTTAAGGAGGGTGGGTGCAATTAGAAGACTGAGGATTCCAAAAAAGGTACTAGAGAGTTTTAGTAGATCGTTCCGATAGCCCCGATAACGATACTATGCATGCGCAAGAGAGGCGGTGGCGGAGTATCGGGTATCGTTATCGGAGTCATGGGAACGATCTACTAAAACTCTCTAATAACAGTAAACAGAATATGGAAAGCGACGCTGGCAAGCCTCCGTGGCAACAGTTAATCGAAAATCCAAACAAAGTTTATTGAAATTTGACGCACGTGCGGGCAGCACCACACTGATTTATACATCTGCCCTTTCATTAATTTTATATTTTAATATTCTGTCAGCTGTACGGACTGTGGTAATGCCAATATTTTGAAAAGTTTTGTGAAGCCGCTTCTGTTTCCACACATCTCAAAGAGTCGTAATTTATGTTGTTGGCGTATGCAGCGTGCTCATGGTACCATAGAATGATTGAAGAAAAAGTTAACAGAGCTCACTCGCGACCCAGTCAAATAAAAACGCCAGTTCATTGTGCTTTGCATTCGGGTGGAGAGGGTCACTTGATGCGCCGCTGGCGCTTTTTTGGTCGCCGGTGCCACAGGCAAAGGCTCGAAGGCAATTAATTACCCGAATTTGCCATAAATACCGCAGAAAGATTGCGAGATCATGATGTTGGATTAATTTGGGTTTGAAATGAGAGAGGTTAAAATGAGAAAAGTCTTTCTGACAATGGTCAAAACCAGAAAGTATGTTTTGAGAAAATTTAAAATGAGAAAGGTTAAAATGAGAAAAGTCGTTTTGAGAAGGGTCAAAACCCGAAAGTTTGTTTTGAGAACGGTTTAAAAATGGGAAAGGGAGAAACGCGAAAGTTGTTTTGCGCTGGGTTGAAATGAGAAGGTAAAAACGAGAAGGTAGAAATGCGAACGGGTTCAAATGAGAACCACCCGTCCAGACACACCAACGTCTGTCGTGAAAAAAAAAAAAAAATGCAAGGCGAGACTTACGAGACGACGAGAGCGCAAAACGTGACGCAGCGGGAAAACGATGCAACACCAGATGGGCAACTGATGCAGGGTACTTTGTGTCAGGCGGCCGCTTGCGCCACATAGCACACGTATGCTCGATTACAGTGCTCAGTTTAGTTTCGGTTTTGAAAGGCGACCGAAAGTGGTGCTTTGGAGCACGATTGGCGCAGATT